CCAAGCACGGAATTACTAGCCATAGAGATTCTATGGTACAGTTTGGTTCATTTAAGATTTTTACTTCATTTGAGTCTACACTTTCTTTCACATGTAGTGCCACTCCCCCACCAGCACGACCTGTTCTGTCCTTCCGATATATTTTGTACCCTGGTATTACTGTGTCCCATTGATTATCCTCATTCCACCAAGTTTCTGTGATGCCTATTAGATCAATCTCCTCATTTAATACGAGGCACTCTAGTTCACCCATCTTATTATTTAGACTTCTAGCATTTGTATATCAGCACTTTAAAAAATTGTCACTTTTTAGCTGTCTGCCATTACGTGATGGAATTGAATGGGACTTTTTCGTTTGACTGTTTCTCATCCGATCCTACCCATATTTTATCATCTTCCATCCTCTCCTCCTTACTAGGACAGAGAGAATCTCCATTCATAAATCCTGCCCTCATCTGGAAGAATGATCCCAACTAGGGATCATTTCCCTCTGCTCCAGTTGGATGTTCTCCTTCCCTGAGACTTTCATCCTCCCCACCAGCACAGAGGCTGTCAGACTGGGGGTGGGAGCGCTCTCCTGTGTCCCGGAAAGTCTCCTCTATGCACCTCTCTGTCTCCCTCAGCTCCTCCACTTCAGCCACCCCGGTCTCCAGTGTCCGTACACGGTCTCTGAGGGCCAGGAGCTCCTTGCACTGAGTGCACACAGACGCCACCAGCCCACAGGGCAGGTAATCAGACATGCTGCACAGGGCTCAATAAACTGGGTAGCCCCACTCTGTTGCTGGACTCTGCCTGCATTCTCTTTTTACTCCTGCCGCTGGTTCCTTTCTTGATGTTTTGTTTTTAATCGGGGGGTGTTTATTGCCTTAAGTTTAAAGAATGTTAAGTGTATCTAGCCCCCCACTTCTCCGCCAAACTCCCTCGCAAAAGTCCCCTGTTCGCTAGCTCCTCTGGTCACTTAGGGATGTGCTTTTTAAAACCTTGGTAGCCCCGCCGCCAGTTAAGGGTTGATGGGTGCTAAAGGCCTTAGGGCTCAAAGTCTCGTTAAGAAGCTCTCAGCCTTGCCTAACAGGCCGCTAGGCTCAGCACCCGGACCCCAAACAGAGAACACTGTATACTTCACTCAAGCTGCAAGCCCACCACAAACACACCCCAAAGGTCACCCAGTCGCCCCTCCTTCACCCAGACAACTCCCTCGCAAAAGTCCTGTTAGCCGCTCCTGTTCGTCTGGCAGGTGCCCCTGCCTCAGGCCCGAGCCAATGGCCTAGCGCAGTGCTAGGGCCAGGACTGCAGGAGGTGCTGGACTCGGGTTAAAGCATAAAACCGAGGGCCTGATGCCTTGTGGTCATTAGAGCTCCCACAGGGTGGTGTTAAATTCCAGTCCTCCCCTCTGCACTGTGTGGGATCTTTCACTTCCTGGCCTAGACTGGTATACCACACTGCTGGGGATGGTTCAAGAGCTCCTTGTTCCACCCCAGAGCTGGCTGCCCAGATTGCAAACTGCTTGGAGGTAGGAGGCACTAGAAAGACACACCGTGCTAACACAGACTGTCAGACGAGCCAGGTGAGACCACGTGGGAATTTTCTGAAATAGTTTTAGGAATTCTATGTGTGCCTCAGTTTCCCCTATATTTCATATGGCAACCCAGAGTGGGGAAAGGACTGTTGGCTCTCAGGGCAGGCTGGAGACCTGGGTGTGAATGACACCCCGCTGTCTGAACCTGAACGGGTCGCTTAAAAGGAACAGCCACGACCGACCCCATATCAGAGAGAACAACGGAAAAAGCCATTCACCCGGCCATTGACAACAAGCAACCAGCACCCCAGCGGAAGACGGATTTCCTCACTTCTCAGCAGGGACACAGGGCAGACTCCCCAGCTGAGAACAGAGGGCTGGGAGGTGGGGGAATCAGAGTTGGCTGCTGGAAGGAGTCGGGGCTCTCACCTGCAAACTGACCACGGTCAGTCGGAGCCTGAACATGTAGGTTCCCTACAGCCTGGCCGGGCTCCCCAGAATGGGCCGTGCTGTGACCTTCAGTTCTCTGGGCGACCCGACGGCCGGCCTGGGCCGTGGCCAGTTACCGAACAAACCCGACTGTCTGAGCGCTGGGGGAGTCGCTGCGAACGCCTCCCTCAGGGTCTGTCTCAGCTGGCCTCGCTGGGCAGAGCTCACGGTGTGACACAGGAGGGCTGGAGCCCAGAGGCGATGGGGCCACACGGCTCACCCTGGAAGAGGAGCAAGACCCAAGTGGGACTGACACCCTGAACGGATTCCCCCCCACACTGCTCCAAAGCTGGGGTCATGGCACTGACTCCAGCTCCGTGACACTGGGGTAGGAGATTGACACCAGGTCTGTGAGATGCAAGGTCTCCTTGGGAACGAGCCAGGGAAGCAAAGCAGATGAGCACTTTCCCCAGCCAGGAAAGGGCCAGTGGCTTCGCTGCATCGCTGCCAGACATAAAGGCCCCAAGAAAACAGGCTGGGAAACAGGGCTCAGACAGCAAGCCTGCCCCGGGGCATGGCTATAGGGACCAGGCCGGAACCAAGGGGGATCACACCTAACCTACCCCCAAAGCTTCTGGGGGTGCTGAAGGCCAGCTGTGCTGGTGGCCTGGCCCAGCCCAGCCCTCCATCCATCAGCTGCACCGAGCCATTCCCAGCCACCGATTGGCTGGGAGTTCGGCCCAGGACAGTAGAGATGGCAGCAAAAGCCACGCCAGGCGCAGGTGGAGAGTGTCCCTGCACCTTGGGTCCAGCCTGCGGGATGCTGAGACCCCCCAGGTCACATGGGCAGAGAGGAGACCCAACCCGTCCCCACCGCCCGCAGTGCACCCGCGCTCCCATGTGCCCGCCCCCCCGTCCCCATAGCATCCCATCCTGCAGCGTGAAACAGGCCCCCCCCGGGATGGTACGTTCCCAAAGCTGGCCAGGGCACCCAGACACCTCCGATCCTGTTTCTCAGCCGACGTCCTGAAGCTCCCCTCCCTTCCCTTGGTTTTTAAGCAGTTCCAAGCTCTTCTGCTTGCAAAGCGCTGGGGCAGGGCCAGTGGCAACCCCGTGCTGAGCCTTCAGCTCAACAGCCAGAACGAGGAGTGGAGGCGCAACCCCCGTGTCTCGGTCAGGGAGGGGCAGGGGGCTGCAGGGCTAACGGCGCCGTTATTAACCCTTCCCCTGCTGAGTGCGATGCCAAGCTGCAGAGCCCTGCTGGCCCTTGTTGCCACCGTCTGCATGGCAGCAGCAGCCAGAGGCCCCAGTCTGGCACCGGGCACTGCCCGGCCAGGGAGAGCCCCTGCCCTGCAGAGCTGTCGGACTGGAGAGACTCCAGAGCAGCAAAGGGAGCGAGCTAGTGAGTTCCATTCCTTACCCCTGCCCCCCTTGGCCATCCATGCCCCAGAGCCCCCCGGGGCAGGGCCACTATCAGGTGCCCGTGAGAGTGACTGAGGGGCAGTGCGTACAGGGGAGCTGCCAGCATCCCCCAGGCCAGGAGGGCGAAGTGCCTCTGTAGGCAGCGGGCTGCTCGAGAGCCACAGGGTCCAACCCCCCCCCCCCCCCCCCCCCGGTGTGGACAGGGACGGGCGGGGGCTAGAACTCCTGCTGCAAGCAGTGGCCTCCAGAAGGGAGGAGGGATGCAGGGCCAGCCGCTCCTGCTGATTTTGCATTTCACGGAGGGGTCCGTTGCTGTACCCAGAGGGTGGGCAGGACTCTGCCGCCCACAGCGGGGGAAGGCGGAGCTCTCCCTCCAGCCAAGTCCCATCTGCGAACAGCTCTGAGCCCAAGCCCTGCCCCTGTGACCGACGCAAACCCTGCTCCCCAATTCAGCGCCAAGGGCTCCCACCGCAGCGCTCACTGGACAAGGCTGAGCCCTGGCAGCCGGGACCGGCTCCTCCCCGGCCTGGGCGCAGCGCTGGAGCGCTAGGTGCATGCAGTGCCACCCTGTGGTGCACATCGGAACTGCAGCTCGCCCAAGTACCTGGCACTAAACAGGAGTCAACAAGCCATGCTCCCCTCTTCCCGGAGCCATCCCAGCCCTGCTGGTCCTCAGCTCCCCACGCCCGCCCTGGGCTCGGGGAACACAGGGGCTGCGCCCTGGCTTGTCAGGCACCAAACCCGCGAGTGCTAAAGCCAGGGACAGACAAGAGCCAGGTTCTAGCCCTGCCCGCCCGGCTGCAGAACCAGTGACCCCACCTCCGTGGCAGCTGCAGAGCTCTCGGGGGCCGGCTCCGGCTCTGTCAGGGCACAGCAGGGTTAGAGGGACCCTAGCGCAGGAATCTCTCTGGCCTGAGCCCTGCAGGCCACCTGGGACGATTAACCGTCCTTTCTCCCCTTGTGACATGGGCCCAGTTACTTTAGCTGCTCCAGGCCTGGCCCCGCCCTCCCTCAGTCTCTGGGGGTTCAGAGCCACGTCCCTGCCGGTTACAGGGTTCTCTCCCTGCGCTTGCTCTGGGGAAGCGCCCAGCAGAACTGGACGAGATGACGCCAGGACAGTGACTGCAGAGGTGCATGCCCCTCGGGTGTCAGCCACGGGACGCAGGTTGGTCATGCTGGGGGAGGAGCACGATGCTGTGTCCCCCGGCAACCTGGCCTGGCGCAGAGAGAAGCTAAGTTCCCCGTGTTGAACCGTCCCACAGAGGAGGTCAGACGCACAGCTCCAGCCTGATTCTACCAGCGTGAGACCCTCCAGCTCACACGCATTCCACTCCCCCCAGGGAGGCCAAGGGGCGGGACGTCCCTGGGCCGGGCACTGGCTCCCTGGCTCTCCCCTGGAACTTGCAGGCAGCTGCGGTGCAGGCTCAGCCAGGGGTGGCCATGCTGGACCCCAGCTGGGCACTGCTGCCCCGGTGCCAGGAACTGCCCAGAGACTCACTCCCAAGGCCCATCTCAGCACAGCCGCCCTCACCCAAGCGCCACGAGGTGGCGCCCTTGGGCCCAGCCCACCCAGGGGGCGCCAGGCCCAAGCAACCGAAGGAGGGAGACAAGCCAGGACTGGGTTGGACCCGGGTTTATTAACCGGAGTGACTGGGCTGGGGCAGCCCCTCAGTTAACAGAGACAATTCATCTGCCTTAAATATTTGTTATAAAAACAAATGGTTTAAAAAATCTGGTTTGACACTTTTTTTTGTCTTTTTCGTTTCTCTGTAAAGCCCTGCTCAGCTGCAGCCAGGCCGGGGCACCTCCCGCGGGCACCGGGCAGAGCCGCCATGGGCCCAGCGCTACCTCCGCAGGTTGCGCTGCGCCTGTTTCAATAAGGTGTCGAAGTCGAGGGAGTCGAACTTGCTCTTGATGGGGGCAGGGTCTAAATCTTCCCGGTTGGAATCTGGAGGACACAAGGCTGCAGTGAGCGGCGAGGCGCTGGGGTGGTAAGGCACCGCGAGGGGGATCATCCCCACTCCACAGAGGTCAACCCCCCACAAGGCAGTGCCGGACCTGGGGCTGCCGCCCCCCTGCTCAGAGCTCTCGGCGGGCCCAGAGGACCCCAGGGGAAGGGGAGAGCTCTGCTCGGCAGACTCCTGCCGCGGGGCTCCCAGAGTGGCCCAGGCCCTGGCGACGTCTCGGGCTCCCCGACTCACCCAGGTCCGCGTAGTTCCTCCGGCAGAACTGGCGGCGCCCCCCGAAGCACAGGTCGAAGGGCTGCTCGTCCGGGCGCCGCAGTTTGTGGCCGCTCTCGATGGCGGCGAAGGCCTCCTTGGCGTAGCGGTAGGTGACGAAGCCGTAGTTGTCCCTGGGGGGAGAGGAAGAGCCGGTGACTCGCTGTGTCCCCTCCCACGGGGCCTGGCGACTGGCAGAGGCTTCCCAAGGCTGAGGTGCATGGGCCCGGCCATGCCCACCTGGGCAGGGGCACAGCCTGCTCTGGGCAAGGACGGGGTGCCAGGAGCTACCCTGACATTCCCTAGGGAGCCCCAGCAATCCCCGTCCCCAGGGCAGGGCCCGGCCTCACCCCTCAGCCCGGAAGTGGAGGGTGCACTCCTCAATGTCCCCGAACACGGAGAAGCGGTGCCGGAGCTCTGCCCGCGTCATCCTGCTGGGGATCTTGCCGATGAAGACGACTCTCCTCTCCTCCTGCAGGGAGCACAGCACAATGCAATGAGCTGGGCACAGCCCCGGAGTTCGGCACACGCTCGCCCAGCTCACCCCGAAAGCCGGCATTACAGACTCCGCCGCGCGACCCCGGCTGCTGGTCACTGCCACTTCCTGCCCAGCTCGGCACCCGATGGGGCCCTAAGGCGGGGGTCCTGCCCCCAGCTCAGCAAGTTGGGGTGGGGCGCGGTGGGGCAGGGCCCTGCCACGCCCCCACTCCAGAGCAGCATTCACACCTGGCAAGCCCCCAGCCAGAGGGGCTCCGAGCCCCCTGGGGAAGCAGGGAGACAGGCCGGACACTCACATAGGGCGTCCGTCCCCTTTCTCTGCCCGGGGGGGGTGGAGGGGGCGGCTCAGCTCTGAGCCCTGGTGTGGGAGGGGCCGGCCCTGCAGGGAGCAGAGACCTGGTCAGCTGGGCTCCCCACACCACACACTCACCCTGGAGCTCCCAGGGACCAGGCACCCCCTGGTCCCTGCACGCACCTGGCCCCATAGCTCCCAGGGACCAGGCCCCGCATCTGGCCCATAGCTCCCAGGGACTGCCCCTCCCCAGCACATGCCCCCACTCCCCTTAGACCAGCACATGCCCGGCCTGCAGCTCCCAGGGATTGCCCCCCATTGCACCAGCACACGCCCAGCCCATACTTCCCAGGGACCAGATCCCCCCCTGTGTCCCCTCCCCCCCACGCCCAGCCCATACTTCCCAGGGACCAGATGCCCCCCCAC